ACTGCCACAAATGAGGAGTGCCCCCCCCGAGTTCACAGTGGGGGTGGAGGGATGGGGGCGGCAGTGCTGCTTTTACCACCTGCGGCAAGATTTACAGCTCTGCCCCTGGCCAAGTACCCCTGCAAACTCAGAGGTTGTTCAGAAAAGCAGAAATATCAGAGACACGGTGTGGAATTTCCAAAGACATGAACTGAGAACATAGAGGGAGCCAAAGCAAGAAATTCGAGAGAAGTAAAAGCTTCAGGTTTCTCACATTCCTCGCATTCAAAGATCCATCTTTTAAACACTGCTGTCATTCATCAAGGATGTTTGGGCAGCGATGCAACAACAGAGACTTTTTTCCAGAGCAACCACCATTATTGCCAAACACTTTGCTTAATATTCTCTCCCACTACCACCCCCCCCCCAAAAAAATCACTCCTTGCACATCATTTCTTGCTGGCAGGACATTCTAACAAATGCAATGCATGTGGAATGGCGGTGGAGAACATACTTGTCATGCACTTGCAGGCACTTTGGTACAGGTGGGAAAGATGAGCTCTGAAACCATAGAGAATGGCTGCCAGCCAAAGTGGACACTACTGGCCTAGAACAGGGATAGGCAAACTCAGCCCTCCTGATGTTTTGGGACTACAGCTCCCATCATCTCTAGCTAACAGGTCAGGGATGATGGGAATTGTAGTCTCAAAACATCTGGAGGGCCGAGTTTGCCTATGCCTGGCCTAGCTGGACTGAACGCTCTGGCTTGGTGTAAGGGAGTTTTATGTGCTTGTGTTTGTTCTTTCAGATATTATGTGCTCAAGGTACACAAGCACTTACAGGAAGGAGCACAATGCCTTTTCCAAGCAGCCGTAATACAATGCACAGGAATCTGCGCCCACTCGTTTTCTGCTTTCACAAGGCTAAGGAAGAGGCGGGTGTGCAATTTGCTAAGTACCGATGCTAAACAATGGCTCAAAAAAGATGCGGCTGGAAGGATGCTACTAGCAGCATCCCTAACTTTTACACCAGCCTTCGCCAGCCAGGTGTTCTCCAAGTTTGTTTTTTAGGCTACGCGGTGGCTGTTGCTGGTTGGGGCTGAAAGATTTATACAGCCTGGAGTTGAATCCAAATGCCCTACAGGGTTGCTGAAAGCTGTTTTACATGTTCCCCTGTCACCATCCTTGGCCTTAAACCTGAAAGATGTGGTACTAGGATCTGCCACATCACACTGTGGACTATTTCACCCACATACATTTTTAGGTGCTCGAACTGAAACCGAACGTGCCTGAGAGCGAAGCACTTGCTTACAAACCCATACATCACACAAATACAGAGAATCAGAAGTGGAATTGGGGGTTGCTTTTGGGTATGTTCAGCAGCCAGCCTGGCTTTGCAACTGCAGAACGCGTTCCAATAGTTCTGTAGGCAAATCCTTCGCTTTGAGACTTGGTTCGCCTTCTGGGGGCTCCTGAGCTGGGACATGCAAGACATGCTGATAATTATAGTTGCAACTTCTCTGTGCTCAGTTTGCAAGTACTATGCAAACTATCAATAATGGCAAATTGGAGACATGCAATTATTTCACTGACGTTCACGCAGACAGCAGTTGCTCGCTCCGACACTTACAGAAGCCAGTTTGCTATTACCGTCATTTTTGTTCCCTTTCGGGTTGTCTGTTTCAAATCTTTACCATTTCTCTCTTTCCGCTTCATGCAACACACAGGATGTTTCGTGACTGAGGGCGAAAAGCTGCAGGTTGTAGATTAGACTACGATTCCATATACCCATCTTATTTCTACAAATAAAAGGTTGCACTCAAAAACTGGAGCTAGGAGTCACAAGTGTTTTCATTCTTCCTCTCTCCTTCCCACTTTGCTCCTCCGTGCTGCAGGCTGCAATCCTAAACATACATTTCTGGGACTAAGCCCTGTTGAGCTAAATTCTATTTGCTTCTGAATAGACATGTATTGGACAGCACTGCCAGTTCCCGGCTGGTGATGCCGCGTGCCAATGAATTCTTGTTAGCAAACTGACGCTGAAATCTTAACTTTCTCCTAAAACCTTTCACCACTGCTCTACATAAGACACAAACCCCTATGATAGACCAGGGGAAAGCATCACCCTGGTTTAACTTCTGGGAAAGTAAGCGCTAGGAGAAGGGAAATTACCAGATCCTCCGATTTAACTCCCCAAAGAAAATCCTCGACCACAAAAAATGATCCTAACTCACAGGTTTAACAGCTACTGTTGTTCTGATTCCATCATGCATGTGTGGTGCTAGTTCTGATGTTGATACTTAACCTTGGTTATTTACCAATTTCCTTCATATCCTCTCCACTTATTCCTCTCCCCCCCCCACCACCTCAGTCTTGGCATTCTGCATTCTCGGGCTGCACCTCTTCCTTCTGCCACCGATCTGTGCTTGCCAAACGGTAAGTGTTTGACTTCCCTGGGCATAGCTCAGTTGGTTAGTGCCGATAACGCCAAGGTTGCAGGTTAGATCCCCATGTGGGACAACTGCATATTCCTGCATTGTGGGGGGCTGGACTGAATGATCCTTGGGATCCCTTCCAATTCTATGACTTTTTGGATCTACTCCCGCCCCCCCTTTATTCTTACATTCACCAACTTAAGCCGGGTGCAAAAGATATATAAGTTAGCGTACAAACCCCGTTTATTCTGCATCCAGGCATCTCCCATTGCTGGTTTGGGAAGCATAGCTCAGTCATTATGAGCATGAGACACATAATCTCAGGGTTCTGGGTTCGAATGTCGGACAAAAGATTCCTGCATTGCAGGGGTTTGGGCAAGATGACCCTTGAGGTCCCTTCTAGTGTTTTGACACACTCCCCACCCCGCCCTTCAAACCAGCTTCAATCCAAATTAAGAAAATGTCCCAACTGTCTCTGAACACCTTCCTGAGCTCAGGAACAAGTTTTGGGAACCAGAACTAAAGAGGGCTCACTCGTCCTTTTGCACAAAAGTCACAATCCCACTCCCGTTTGCTCCTCTGAGCACTTCCGGATGAAGGGTGGCTATTTAAGGAGCATTCCTTCTGATTTGTTTGTACAGAGGTAAGAGGACCCATGGCGTCAAAGTTCCCTCACGCGTGCCAGTAAATGTTCCCATCACTTTCCTTATCGCAAGAAGCCTGATCTGTTCAGGAAAGCAGATCTGTTGCACAAGACTTCCTAATCAACGCCCATGGTGAGACCTGGATTTGCCAGTATATGGCTGAATCCCACCCAAAAATAGCAGCCAGTCCAGAAGAGCTCTTTGTTTCTTTAAAGGGGAAAAGGGCACCTTCTTTTTCCTGCTCTTGCTGATGTTAATCAGTCGAAAGTCAGCAGCCCTTGACAATCTACTGCAAAACACGCAGAGATCTCCCAGTACAGCCCAATCTACCTTCTGCCCATCCCTGGAGTAGGGACTACGGGAAGGGTGGGGGCTTGCTTGGGTTTAAAGGCATTTGCTGAGAAAGCTCCTGGCGACCTCCAGGTTAGCTCTCCTGAACCTATGCACAGTTCTCTACACAGTTCCTTCAAATTTCTGCACACTTTCCTTACATCAGCCCAGATTCAACATGCTCCCTTTTGCTCCCCAGTCACCTGCCCCTGTGCTTGCTCTGAAGCAGAGGTTTGGATGCCCGCCCCCCCCATCCTGAATGATGTAGTTGAGATTCCTGCATTGCAGGGGGTTGGACTAGATGTCCTTCAGGGGTCCCAACTCTACAATGCTATGATTCTTCTGCTTCTGCCTCATCCTTTCCACTGCCTCACCTCTGTTCCTTCCACCCCTCAAGCCGCCATCCAAAGCATGCTTTCTTGGAAGACAGTCCCAGTAAAATCGACAGGGCTTACTTTGGAGTAAATGTGGCTTACAGCCTACTCTTTTTGCTCCCCATCTCTGCTTTTTCCTTCTGCGCTGTGACACTTCCACACGCCCCTGCTCCAGAGGCCACTGCCAGAGAGAGCCAACAGCGCAGGGTTGCTGCTGCTGTTTTTAAAGGGCCAGACAATCACCTGCAGGTAACATTATCAGAGACAGGTGAACCAGAATATCCATATCTTGACAAAGGATAGCTCTGGCTACAGCTTTTGCCCCTGTGTCCTGCCTATGAGCTTCCCTGGAGCAAATGTGAAGAGACCCCCAACATTTGATCAGGCAGTGGGATCATTATATCATACCTGCCTTACAGCAAGTCACATCTAGCTCAGTATCGCCTACACTGGCTGGCAGCAGCTCTCCGGGGTCTCAGGCAGGCTTCTCTCCAAGCCCCCCCGGAGATGCTGAGGAATGAACCTGGGACCTTCTGCATGCCAAGCACCAGAGGAACTCACAGGAACTCAGTGCCGGCACATCTCAGGTGGGTACCAAGGCTATTCTAAGAGAACAAGGGTGATTGCATTCATGGTGAGTTTTAGAGAAAAATAGCACTGGCAGGCACAGCTTTGCCCTCCAGCTATGTCTGCATAGCTCAGTTGGTTAGAGCATGGGGCTGATAATGCCAAGGTTGCAGGTTCGATCCCCATATGGGACAACTGCAGTGGGTTGGTCTAGATGACCCTCAGGGTCCCTTCCAACTCTATGAATTCTATGAATGCCTCTTTTCCTGCCTCCTTTCCAGCCCCTCAACTGTAACCCGCTTCTTCCTGCCCCGCTCGTCGTGCCTCCGGATCCACAGCTGTCAACTTTTCCCTTTTCTTGCGAGGAATCCTATTAGGAATAAGGGAATTTCCCTTTAGAAAAGGGAAACGTTGACAGCCATGCGGATCCCTCCCTGCCTCCCCCTGCCTCGGGTCCCAGCACCCTTTCCCTCCCGGCCCCCCTTGTCCCCCTCCCTTGCCCCTCCCCACCGCTCCCCCTTCTCCCTGCGCCCTCGGGAGCCGGGACGGCATCCTTCCTTCGTACCCGGCCACCGCGATCCCCTTTTCCTGGGGCGGGGAGAGACGCGGGAAACCAGCACGTCTCCGCTGCCCTGGCAAGTCCGGCGCAATCCACGCGGCTCTTGCGCTTACCTGTCCGCGGCGCAAAGATCCGAGGCGCTGCTGCCGCCGCCGCCGTCGCCGTCGCAGCTCCTGCTGCTGCTGCTGCTGCTTCTCCTCCTCCGCGCGCGCGCAGCCGAGGCGGAAAGAATCGGCCGGGCAGCTTTAGGAGGCGCGGGGCGGCGATCCAAGCGCGGGGCGCGCAGCCTTCCGGAGCAGCGAAGCCAGCAGGAGACGACGACTCTGCACGCGCAGCACCGGGCACCGCGCAAAGCTGGCAGCCGCTGCGCCTCGATCGTGGCTCGCGAAGCAGCGCGGGGACTTCCAGGAAAGGGGGCGGAGTGGAGAGCTGGGGCGGAGGAGAGGCGAGCAAACCCCACCCTCGGGCTGGGGTGGGGGGAGAGCTGTGCGCGGCGGCGAGCCCTCGGGCAAGCGGCAGCCCCACGTCGGGCTTGGGTTCCTCCCTTGGCGATCCCGGCGCGCCCTCTTCCTCTCCACCCGACGCCGTCTCTTGCCGGGCGCTTCGTAGCGAGTGCGGACGAGGCTGCTGGGGTTGGCGAAGTTCCCCGACGCTGGAGACTGGAAGAAGGCATCCACGCCCCTCTCTCTCCAGGAGCAGAGGGCTCTCGACAGCCTTACCTTTCCCGCCCCGACCTGGCCACTGTGATCCTCCAGGCTTGTGATCCTCCAGGCTTGACTACTGTAATTCGCTCTACGCGGGGCTGCCCCTGAAGCTGTCCCAGAAACTCCAGCGGGTGCAGAATGCTGCAGCGAGGCTCCTCACGGGGTCTCTGCCATGGGAGCATATTCACCCAGTGCTTTTCCAGCTGCACTGGCTCCTGGTGGAGTATAGGGTCAGATTTAAGGTGCTGCTTTTGACCTTTAAAGCCCTTCGCGGCCTAGGACCCTCATACCTACGGGACCGCCTCTCCCGGTATGCCCCACGGAGAGCCTCAAGGTCCATAAATAGCAACACCCAAGTGGTCCCAGGCCCTAAGGAAGTCAGATTAGCTTCCACCAGAGCCAGGGCCTTTTCAACACTGGCTCCGGCCTGGTGGAACGCTCTGCCTCATGAGACCAGGGCCCTGCAGGATCTGATTTCTTTCCGCAGGGCCTGCAAGACAGAGTTGTTCCGCCTGGCCTTTGGCTTGGAGCCAATTTGATTCCCTCCCCCTCTTTCTTTTTTCCTTTCTCCTCCTATGATGAGGCTGCATTTTAATGTTTTAATGTTGTATTTTAATCTTGTTTTTAAGTTGTATTCATTCAGCTTGTTTTTATTATTGCTTGTTAGCCGCCCTGAGCCCGGCCTTGGCTGGGGAGGGCGGGGTATAAATAAAAATGATTATTATTATTATTATTACTGCCCTGAGACCTCCGCGTATAAGGCGGTATATAAACCCAATCAGTAATTATAATTATAATAATACTGCTAGCCCCGATGGCTCGGCTCTGCCTCCGCAATTGGAGGCAGCAAGAGCCGCTTCACCGTGGAGAAGGGCTGTGGGCTCTCCTTCCTTTGAGGTTTCCAAGCAGGGGTTGGGTGGCCATCTGCCATGGACAACCTAGTTCAGGTGCCCATAGTGTGGGGTCGACTAGATGACTCTGGGTGCCCCTTCCAACTGTTCCTTTCTGTGATCATAGCCGATTCCTAGGGGCCGAGGTCCCTTCGCCCACCCCCCTCAAGGTTGATGGGCATTGGCATTCAGATGGGGGGGGTGCCACGATGGATCATGTGGGGCGGGTCTTCCGTGGGCCACCCCAATATTTTATTCAAGTTGGCATCCCTGTCTGTGTTTCTATGAATACCAGTGGCTGGCCTCCACTATGGCAATACAGTTGTACCTCAGGTTACAGACGCTTCAGGTTACAGACTCCGCTAACCCAGAAATAGTACCTCGGGTTAAGAGGTACTGCGGTGGCGCAGCAGCAGGAGGCCCCATTAGCTAATGTGGTACCTCAGGTTAAGAACAATTTCAGGTTAAGAAGGGACCTCCAGAACGAATTAAGTTATTAACCTGAGGTACCACTGTATGTTGGGACGTGGGTGGTGCTGCGGGTTAAACCACAGAGCCTAGGGCTTGCCAATCAGAAGGTTGGCTGTTCAAATCCCCGTGACGGGGTTGTTGGCTATTTGCAGTATAGTAGCGCTGCAGAGAGCTTGCTGGGGAGACCATGAAGGGACTCAAAAATAACTTAAATAAGGTTTTAATTACAAAAACTCCTTACACACTAAATACATCAACAACAAACCAGACCCAACCACCAACCCATCCCCCAGGGTAATGGGAGAGCTAGGTGCTGCTCCTTATATACTACACCCAATTGCTGACACAGCTTAATCAATACAACTCAGCAGCACCTGCTATGTTTCACAGCTGTAAAGCTGGGTCTCATTATTTTGCTCTGGCCCCTTAAAGACATACACATGGAGTGGAACAATGATGAACCTTTACATTTAAAGAAACCATTCAACAGGGGTGAGCTCCCATTGCTCGGTCCCTGCTCCTGCCAATCTAGCAGTTTGAAAGCACGTCAAAGTGCAAGTAGATAAATAGGTACCACTCTGGCGGGAAGGTAAACGGCGTTCCATGTGCTGCTTTGGTTCGCCAGAAGTGGCTTAGTCATGCTGGCCACATGACCTGGAAGCTGTACGCCGGCTCCCTCGGCCAATAAAGTGAGATGAGTGCCGCAACCCCAAAGTTGGCCACGACTGGACCTAATGGTCAGGGGTCCCTTTACCTTTACTTTACCTCCCTACCGTGGTGCATTTGTCACCATCATTTTATAGTTTTAAGACACCACTTTAACAGCAAGTGTTTGGAGCAGGATAGACCTGCTGCTATTAGTAATTGTTCTTTCGTGATTTGATATGTATTTTTAAGGGTTGTGTTATTTTGTGCATTTTAAAAAAATCTGTCTTGCAAAACATGCACACACACGGCTTCTGCAAAGTGTGGTGTAACATTTAAAGTAAGCAAAATAAAATATTAGAAAACAAGTCAAATCCTAAGCAGTTGAATCCTAACAGGAAGGGGCCAGCCTTTCCTCCTCCCTCTCAAAAAGGCCAGAAAAGAGAGGGATCGGTCTGGATCTTCTCAGTGGGATCCTTCCACATTCTCGAGGCGATTGCCGTGAGCGCTGCCGTTCTCCCCCTGCGGAAGCATTTGTTCAGAGTCTATATTAAGGACCTCTATTCACAGAGCTGTTTTGATTAGGGAGAGAGTTAATCTGAAAGCACTTTGCAACACACTAAGCAGAGAAATTAGTAATATTAATAATGACTGGGCTAAAGTGGACTAGAAAATTGAAGTCAGGGCAGGTTCCAGGATCCTTGCTGAATTCCAGGACAAGCAGCACACTACTAAGCACTCAGTGCTTGTAAGTTTGTCACACAGTTTGGCATTTTTGTTATCGTCATTTAACCATTCATAGGTGCAGTGCGTGTAACTCTTTGTCCCATCATGACCCCAGTAAGAACCTGCCCCATTTATGTCAGTGGAAACTTCTCTCCCGTTGCAAATTGGCGGTGTGCAAAAGGCTGTGTGCAAACAGGACAAGGGGGGGCAAAGAGTTAAAGCAGGGGTCAGCAAAGTTTTTTAGCAGCGGGCCGGTCCACTGTCCCTCAGACCTTGTGGGGGGCCAGCCTGTTTGGGGGCGGGGACGGGAATGAACCAATTCCTATGCCCCACAAATAACTCAGAGGTGCATTTTAAATAAAAGGACACATTCTACTCATGTAAAAACACACTGATTCCTGGACCGTCCGTGGGCCAGATTGAGAAGATGATTGGGCCGAATCCGGCCCCTGGGCCTTAGTTTGCCTACCCATGACTTAGTGGGTACTGAAGCCAGAATCTTAAATTATCAGCTTATTCCAGGTAGAGATGCACCATTTTGGTTTTTCTCATTATTCCAATCTAGTTCACCCAATTTCCACATCCGTTTGCAAACTTTAAGGGGGAAAATAATGAAAATTTATAAACATTTCTCTTAATACACGCATTCCTCCTAATCTGAACATTTTTTGCAAGCCTAATGTAATGCATTTGTGTACATCATATGGGTGTGGCTGTGCACACTTCCCCCTAATACAGGGGTCAGCATACTTTTTAGCAGGGGGCCGGTCCACTGTCCCTCAGACCTTGTGGGGGGCCAGACTATATTTTTTTTGGGGGGGAATGAACGGATTCCTATGCCCCAAAATAACCCAGAGATGCATTTTAAATAAAAGGGCACATTCTACTCATGTAAAAACACGCTGATTCCCGGACCATCTGTGGGCCGGATTTAGAAGGCAATTGGGCCGGATCCGGACCCCGGGCCTTAGTTTGCCTACCCATGAGTTAAAGCAACCCTCCCTCCTATATGCATTTTTGTGTGTTTTTCTATAATTCTTATTAAATTTTCTGGTTTACATTTTAGAATATTCATTTAAACAACCTCAAAATATCAATGACTTCCCTTCTTCTCTTTGCATGGTTCATTTTGCATAACATAAATCTCTGCATATTTTATACATACTAAACCATTCAGTGGGGACACGGGTGGCACTGTGGGTTAAACCACAGAGCCTAGGACTTGCCGATCAGAAGGTCGGCGGTTCGAATCCCCGCAACAGGGTGAGCTCCCATTGCTCGGTCCCTGCTCCTGCCAACCTAGCAGTTTGAAAGCACATCAAAGTGCAAATAGATAAATAGGTAGCACTCTGGCAGGAAGGTAAACGGCATTTCCATGCGCTGCTCTGGTTTGCCAGAAGCGGCTTAGTCATGCTGGCCACATGACCCGGAAGCTGTATGCCGGCTCCCTCGGTCAGTAAAGCAAGATGAGCACCACAACCCCAGAGTCGGCCATGACTGGACCTAATGGTCAGGAGTCCCTTTACCTTTAAACCATTCAGTATTCCATTATTACATCCATCAAAACTTATTTACAGTGGTGCCTCGCAAGACAAAATTAATCTGTTCCGTGAGTCTCTTGGTCTTGCAGTTTTTTCGTCTTGCGAAGCACGGCTATTAGCGGCTATTAACGGCTATTAGCGGCTAAGCGGCTATTAACGGCTTAGCGGCTTTAAGAAAAAGGAAACGAACTCACAAGACGTTTCATCTTGCGAAGCAAGCCCATAGGGAAATTCGTCTTGCGGAACGACTCAAAAAACGGAAAACCCTTTCGTCTAGCGAGTTTTTTGTCTTGCGAGGCATTCGTCTTGCAGGGCACCACTGTACACTGTTGAATTTATCTTAATGCTGCCCATGTTTTCAAATGTACACAATTTCCCCCATATATTCAATGAACATTTTCCAATCTTCTTTAAATGTACCTCTTATATGCATTTGGATCTGCAGGTCTAGAGTTCCGATCCTGTGTACATTTACTTCGGAGTAAGCCACCCATCAACCCAGCAAAGCTTGCTTCTGAGTAAACAACATCCCATAGCACAGGACCCAGGATCGAAGAACTCTGGTCTTGAAAACTTCCCAGGCTCCTCTGCAGGATGTGGCAGTTCTATTGCAGAGGTACTTGTCAGATAATTAGATGTGGGAATGGTTTCCTGAGCTGAAGCGAGAAAGTTTGAAAACAACTTCTTTAGATTTAAACCTCCGTATTAGAAATAATCGAGATGTTATTTGGAAAATAAACCTCT